GCCGAAGACGAATGCCCCTCCGCAATCTACAAGTTGTAAGCTCGGTCGTAATCTACCCCTCGGTTGAGAGAGTGACTGAGCTGAATGTTCGATGTTTCCACGTTGCCGTCGTGGACCATGAAACGGGGTAAGAATGGGGGTATGGATTTGATCGATATAAGTCGATCGAAAAGTAAAACGTGAAGCGAGCGCGCGATTTGATCGACAAATTATTAAAATATCGGTGGTGAGTCAATCGGAATTTATCGATTAACAAACCCGTGAATCAATCGACAAACCCACTCGACAGACTCTTCCTGACTCACTGTCAGTACCTAAATAACATTAATTTTTGGGCCTTGGGTGAGCCGATTTTGGAATTCTAGGCGTCAAATGTAAGTGTTTCGTGCTTTTCAAGTCTAATAGCTCAGTTTTCTCAGGAACCTTGACTTCTAAGATCGCCAACGAACACACACACACACACCCTCACCCTCACACACCTCCCCCCCCCCCCCCCNCCGCTCGAGCTGGGGGATTCTGAAACAATGCAATGCGGATTCCCTGGGGTTGATTCCCTTTTCAACCCCGTGCTCCCTGACTCCGTGCGACCTAAAGCAAACGAGGAAAAAGGCTGACACGGCTGATCTTATCTCGATTTTCAGCGTGCGCTCAACTAGTGGACTCACCGCTCATTTGAAAAGTGGCGCGCCAGTTTGTATATCTTTCCGAGCGCGCCACCTGAATTGGCGGGAACCAATGAAAGTGAGGTTTCGACTAGAGTACCTTTATAGACAGAGTATGGCCATTCGTATATTTTTACTACAGGAAAACTGTTCCGCTTTTTGATTGGTCAACGAGTTTTTAGGCTTCATGATGCTCTAAGGGCCGTAAATAAACAAACAAGATGGCGGCTCACCGTAACATCGATGAGAAGCTAAATTTGACAAAAATTTCAATTATGCGGCAGTAACAATTTAAACGAGCATATCTTCGAATAGCACTCGAAAAACACATGAAAACATTGTTAAATTGCCTTCCACCTTTATCACAGGAGGATGTAAGATGTGCATAACCTCAATCTTGCTTGCTGATAACGGCCATCTTGTTTGTTTATTTACGGCCCTAAGAGCATCGTATCAGCCTATTCGCTCGCGACCAATGAAAAACCGGAACAGAAATGGCCATACTCTGTCTATAAAGGTACTCTAGTTTCGACTTGTTTACATTCGCGTTATTTTGATGACCTAGATGTAAACAAGCGTGGTTTTTCATCTTCTCATGAGTGTTGTAAGTCCTTTGAATATTAAAAGTTGTTCGAGGCTCTTGATTTTTTGTACATATGCGAAGCAGTTTTTATGTACCCACCTCAACTACATCCCTCCGAAGAATATTCAATTCGGTGTTTCCTTGCACAAGATCGACACCTCAAGATATTCTCTCAAACTATTTGGAAGTTCTCAGCGATAAGCTTATTTGATCCGCTTCGCAATGATTTCACTAGCACTTTACTGTTCAAAATTATTGAGGCTCTCAAGGAGCCATTCCATGAAGTTTCAAACTTTCCATTTTGGTTCGTCTATCAGTTAATTTTATTGCTTGTTTTTCACCAAGGATTCACTTATCATGTTGTGATTCCCTTACTCCCAATATCTTTTAATGTCATGCATCTCACCAGTTTATTCATACTCTGAGTCACCTTAAAGAGGGTTTTCACAGGAGAGATGTAAACTACGTCTTGCTTCGAAATAAGACGATGGATGGTCTCAGTCAAATTCAGATTCTAGTCTATTGAGTAGTGTCTATTAGGGGTCGGCCGAAGTTTGATTTTCCAATGATGATCATGGCTTGAAAATTGTTGATTTTATGCCTCCGGTGATGCAGATTCATACATTCCCCGAGGATTGACAACAGGATTGAATACATTTCCCCACGGCCGGATTAAGGGGGTGATCACATGGGCCGCGGCCCATGGCGGCAAATTTAGGGGGCGGCAAATTTTGCAATTTTTTAAATGTAGCCATAAAGAAAAATCAGATTCAGACAAAAAATTACGAACGAGAAAAGGTGACAAAATTTCTCATTTCCTGAGAGTATATCTCTAATTTTGTCGTTCTTCTATGATACAATAGACAGCACCTTTAATTAGTCGAGTTAAGACTAAGAGAGAAACCGAACACGGAATTTGGCCAGGAACGGCGCGGCGCAGAGAGCAATGATGACGAGAACGTGAGATGAAAAGGAGAAACCCTCGGCGCGGCGGTCGGCATGTAACACATATTAGCGCCTACAAGACTGCATGAATACTTCACGCATTGCGCCAAAGACAGTGCGGTCGCTGCGGTCAGCAGCAGTCAGCGTGAAACGCATAGCGCCTACAAGACTGCATGAATACTTCTCGCATTACGTCAAACCCAGTGCGTGCAGCAGCGGTCGGCCCGAAACGCATAGCGCATGTTAGACTGTAGGAATACTTCACGCATTGCGCCAAATACAGTGCGGTCAGCGCGGCGCGGCGGCGGAAGTTAAAATTATTAAACCACATTTATGTTTGTTCTTTCATAATTTTTTAGTTCATTTCTTATGAAAGGAAGGCCTTGTTCTGTGCAAAAGTACCAGCAAAAGTTCCGTGAACTTTTGCTAGTAGTGTTGACAGGGCTTTCACAACAAATGTGACCAACACGAGTAAACGCGTCTTATGCGCCTCTCCCCCTCCGGCACGTTTACTTGATGGCTTTTATTGATGTTTCAAAACGAATGAGAAGGGGGCGGCAAAATACAGGCGGCCCATGGGCGGCAAGCTAGTAAATCCGGCCCTGCATTTCCCTTGAAGCCTTGAAACCTAGACACTTAGGTATTGTTAGGGAAGGAAAACAGAAGAGTTGACAAACCGGCAGAAAAGACTAAACGCATTGAGGCTGCCATGAACATTTACATTGAATGCCGAAATTAAGAACCGCGATGTCTCTCCATACAATGAAATTATTCTTTAAATTTGATGGAATCCAGTAATAAGGGAAAATTTCACATTCGAATGATAATCTAAAGACCCATAATGATTGGGTTACAATCTTCGAAGTTCACGCCCCGCGACACGTTTTGCTGAAATTGCCTCGACTGAAAAAATCGACATCATTCCTTCTCATTCGACGGAGTAAAAATAATACTTTAGAGCTTTGGGGAAAAACATGTTTGCCCGACTGTGCTGAATAATCAGCACTTTTCCCCGTTTAACATTATGTAACATATCCACATTTTATTGCATAGCCTGGCAATCTTGGAAAGGAACTACAAAGCAACAAACCTGTAGAGATGCAGACAAATTGGACCAACGCCTTGTTGCTACACGGACGATCCAGCGAACAAAATTGTTCGACTTAACAGGATTATCTAGGATGGTTCCATAAAATATAACTAATTTGTTCCAGTGCCTCATTTACCGACACGAATGCTTAAAAATAACCACAAAATGTTTGATCGAAGCTTAAGAGATTAACAACGTCTGGAAGCGTTTCAAAAAACGCGCCTCAGTCCTCGGTTTCCTGCTTTCAATCATGCCGAAGTTGGTAAGAACAGAGAGCAGTGATTAATAGAGCTCCAGCTCTCCAGCTCTCCAGCGATGATGGCGATTTTTACTCTCGCGGATCAACCGCCGAACTCCTGAAATAATTGCCCTCGTGTTGAAGTTTTAGAGAGTGTTAAGTATTGTGTTTCACAAATAAAACATCTTCGAAAAATTTCTGGCGAAACACGCGCTTTGATCATTGCTCGGTGTTACACTTTCAATGTTCAACGATAAATCACGTATTTTTTCTTCACCCAATATCAGGAAGGTAGCTAGAATATTATGGGGGGGGGTCCACCTTTTCCACAGAGAGAGAGGGAGTTCAGGATTCCGGAAGTCCTACCTCGAAAAATTTTTGAAAAAAAACTTTGAAAACTGCGCTTGCTAATTCAGACACTTCGATCGGGGGGGTGTTTGGGGAGCTTCCCCGGACAATTTTCGAAATTTTAAAGAACCCAATATGTATTTGAAGTCAATTTCGTCAAGAATAAACTGAAAAAAAAAACTCCGGCCCCGGAGGCCGTCCTTACGGGCTGTATAGACATATACCTTCCGCGTTCCGGGCCTAGCACCCGCAGCAATCAAAGCTATGGCTCCTGCACCCGTAACTTTCAACCTCTGAGCCCGGGACAGACGGAATGTCTATGAGCCCGTAACTTTTTCTTTTCAGTGTAATTACCAAATATAAGCTTCGACTTCATATTCCCTCCGTTCCTTCCCTTTATCTTTCTTCCCTTTTTTCTTTCTTTCTTTTATTGTTACTGCCCTCTTTAGATGTGTAAATGGCCTTAGATGCTAAAGCACCGCTTTAAAATAAAATTATTTTACTACTACTACTACTACTACTTTCTTTTTTTCTTTCTTTCTTTTTTTCTTTCTTTCTACTACTACTACTTTCCTTTTTTCCCTCTTCCAAAATAAACTTATATTACTACTACTACTTCCCTTTTTCTTTCTTCCCTTTATCTTTCTTCCCTTTATCTTTCTTCCCTTTTTCTTTCTTCCCTTTTTCTTTCTTCCCTTTTTCTTTCTTCCCTTTTTCTTTCTTCCCTTTTTCTTTCATCCCTTTTTCTTTCTAACTTTTTTTCGTCTTCCTGTTCCGGGCGAACGGGGGTGGGGCGCACGCCTCCGTTCCCCGTCTCTCACTGTCCACCTCCGTCTTTCACTGTCTCACTGTTTATTTCGTTCGTTTAATTTTCATCTCTTTTCTCCTCCCCCCTTCACTGAAAAGAAAGTTGTGGGCTGTACACATATCATCCGTTCCGGGTGCTGTTTACGCCCGGAACTTTCGGCTTCTAAACCCGGAACGCGGACGGTATGTCTGTATAGCCCGTAAATACAGCTTCCACGGCCGGAAATTTTCTCTCTGTGTTTTCTTGACCTATCCTCTCTTTTCTTTTTCGACACACTATGTGTTGGCAGAATTGATGACGGGTGCTTTCTGTTTTTGTGTGGGCAGGAAGTCGAGAAGCGGCGTTCATGCACGCCATCAACTCAGCGGGCGTCTCGCACAGCATATCGCGAGCCTGCAAGGATGGCCAGCTCTCGTCCTGCGGCTGCTCCAGCAAGAGCCGCCCCAAGGAGCTCCAGAACGACTGGGTCTGGGGAGGCTGCGGTGACAACCTCGAGTACGGCTTCAAGTAAGTATTCCTCCACTAAGACCAACATTCAAAGGAGGGGTATCGATATGGGCCTTTTTGGGCCCACCCTGAATTCTCCCAACCATAGAGAGAGAGAAAAAAGGAGGTGTTTGCATCTTGAGGTTTGCACACCCTGTGACGTAGGTCGGTACAACCTGGCCAGCGAAATCCGGAATTCGAAGTATGGAAAACGGACCATAATGTCCCATTTTTTTTTGCTTAAATTAACTCTTGATATAATTTTAAGCACTTTTTATAGAATGACTTTTTTCCATAAATTACACCATTTCCAAGAAAATCGATGATAAAAGTCCCTGTACCGACCTACGTTATCAAACAAATTCCAAGATGCCCGAAATACAAACACCTCCTTTTTTTCTCTATGTCTCCCAACTCAACGATTTTATTGCTTTTCATTGAGGGTACATTTTACGCAATACATCATGTTTTGGTCATTTTCGGTCTCTTTAAAGGTCTAATACTGGCCTAAACGTGGGTTTGGCGGCTGATTTCGGCGAAAAATGCTGATTTGGTGCTGGGTGCCATCGCACCCAGTGTATTCCAGAGAAATGGAATTTCAACAATGTCGAATCAAGATTTCATGTGTTCAGAGCAAGTTTTTGACTTGCAATTTGAACCAGGTTGATTCTAGGTAGATTCTAGGTGAGTAAGCACCCATTAAAGCCCACGTGCCTATAAAATATTCAATATTTCGCTACAGTTCCACAAATTTCGTGAAATCTCCCCGAAATGAATTGCATAATACTTGACGTATACGACGTGCTTTCGTCTCCTCAACAGAGATAAATTAAATGCATTTGAAAATGACCTACCAGGAAAATGTTTCAGAACAAAAGGATGAAACCCCTCTTCCTTCTGGCTGTACACCCGCCTAAAGACGCTCCATATTTGAGCTGTTCCTCTAATTATTTACTATCTCCTTGGGTCTAATTTTAGCCACTCTTTCCAACAGAAAAGAACCAGCATGAAACTTTACGCGTTTGCAACATTAGTTTTCGCTCATAGACATTGCGGGGTTAAAGTGTAAACGTTGAAGAAGAAAAAACTCTAGTTCAAATATATCGACGAGCTGTGGGCTTAGCCCGCCTCTAATACACCCTTTAGCTCACGAGATAATGTTGTTTAGATCGTTTTAGCACTAAACGATGCGATTTGAAAGCACTTTGCGATATATCGATTGATCGGTCATTTAAACCAATGGAAAAGTATCGATAAAAAGGGTGTTCGCAGCGAACACCTTAATAATCGATTATTTACCGTGTCTCCAAATGGGGAAATATCGATAAATCGCAAAGCACGCCACGCCACTGTTTGAGAGGGCTCATCAGAGCGAATCCCCACGGACATTTCGGCGCTCCCAGACTGGAGCAACCCATTCAGACCCACTCCCACTCCACCGCATAACCAAAAATCGCGTAACTCAAACGTAAGATGTCACGCAGATACGCTGTTTTTGCTCGGTATGGTGGATGAATAGGACTGCACAGACTGCACATTGAAGTACTTTTCGCTTGAATGAGATAAGCATACACCCGTCTGTCCCGGGTCGCCCCCCCCCCAGCCCCGCGGGGAAAGGGGAGGGGGTAGGGGGTGATTAAAAAATCGACTCCGCACTTCACATGCTTGCGAAGCTGATGAACGCTGTGCGGTGAAAAGTGAAGTCGGTTTTGTTTGCAAACAATGAGCCGTGTAGAGAAGTTGAAATAGGAATGTTGCACGGATGGAGATGATACTGGTATCGGTGTCAAACCTCATGGAAAAATTCGTAGTGCTGATGGCACATCATCTTTATTAAGGAGAGTGTGAACACTATTTGACTCATTTCTGATTGGATTAGCTTTCTAGAGCTAGATTAGGGTGTCTAGGGTAGACATAGACTACATAGAGTTGAAAGGTGAACGGGAAAGCTGGCGCCACTTTTAAGCATTTCCCAAGTCCCAAATTCCGTGACTCCTGCGTCACGCCGGGTCAACATTTCGATACATAATCAAGAGTTTTCGATACATAATCTTTAGTTTTCGATACATAATCAATAATTTTCGATACGCAGGGACCTGGCCATCCGATGTAAACAAAGAGGATTTGTATTATTACGTATTCTACATCGCCATTTTGGTGCACAACAGGCTCAGAGCTCGTCGACCAGAACATGGCCTTAGCTTACTTCATCATATCACGACTTTATCCCAAGTAGCCGTAATAGCAATAAGTTGCGATTTGATCGGAGATTGTATTGCGATTTGATCGGAGATTGTATTGCGATTTTATCGACTTCGATTGATTGCAATATTAACTGATAAAAAATTGCAATTTCATGACATAAAATTGCAATAAAATCGCAATTTTATCGACGGCGATTCAGCGCAATATTATCGAACGAAAAATCGTGATAAAATTAGATAAAATTTCAATTTTATCGAACGCGATTTAATAGAGATAAAATTGCGACAGAATCGAAGAATATCACTCATTGTCAGAATGTTGATGATGTCAGTGATTTTATCGCCAAAAAATCGTGTAAAAATCGCAACTTAATTTTATAACATCGCGATTTTTCCGTCAAAAAATGCTACTCGGGTACACCAGTCAATCAAAAATTTGCAGTGCCTCTTCAAAAATACTGATTCCTTCCAGGACATTCCAAAATATTTTTCCTCCAACAAAGAGCTTGAAGAAATCCTGAAACGGCACCTACGCATTACCCCACCACAACTCACTTACACGACAGCACAATACACACATGACATGCGACGTTTTTGCACTTGTATTCATTCGCTCTTCGAACGCTACCGTTAATTAGCAATCAGCTTATCTCCTCCCGCGTGTGCTTAACGTTCATTGCTTGTGACGCGTGCGTTGTCAAATGTCACGGAATTTAATACATTTTTTATCCAATCATAAAGACAGGGTGGTAGTGACTCGTTTGAGTCACAAACTATTTTTTCCTCTCACTATAGAAAGAGCGCAGCTAATTTTTCAAAATGTGCACTGAAAAAAGAAGTTTGGTCGCGTGAACCAAAGTTCGGTGTTCCAACCATATCATCCCAACAAATTCGGTCTATTTCAAACCAAATTTTCGGTACGTCAAACCGAACTTTTGGTTCGTCAAACCGAGCTTTCGGTTCGTCAAACTGATGAACTTTCGGTTCGTGTAACCGAACTGCAACGTTAGTATGAACTGCCGAACAAAGCTCGATCCTATGAACCGAATTTTTGGTTACACGAACCGAAAGTTTAGTTCGGCAAACCGCATGGTTAGAATGATAAGAAACACCTAACGTTCGATTCATAAGACTGAACTTTTTTTAGCGGGTGTAATCACAGGTATTATGGAAAGTCGTGATGGACATTTGGAAGATTGAATGGTTGATTAGAGATTCTGTGGATTTCATAAGTACGAAATATGAATGCCACAAGACCTCTTGCGATGTTTGTCTAAAATATTTCCGATTAGGAAAGCACGGAACGGTCCGCAAATATTGGAGAAAGATCTCATCAATTCCGTCTCCCTTTGTCGGAGTTCCAATAACAGGTGCGTGACATCATGCAAAAATTGCTTTAGAATTTTGAATGGTTGTCAATTTTAATTTGGTTTTAATAGGTATCTTTAAAATCGTTAATTTTTTACGTAAAAAAGCGACTATCAAAGGCGCAATATGCAATTTTTCAAGGAGGGACTTCAGATCTAGGTGGCAAATAATGCGTGTCAAGGGGGTGTGTCTGAATTTCCGAATTATAGCGTGATTTGATTTTTCGGTTTTATCGATCTGAACGGCCTCTAATATATTTTTCTTACAGTTGATAACGTAGTTTACGGATGCCGGAAACATAATTTCACGTTGCACGATACTTTTTTGACGTAACGTATCGTGTGACGGTAATATTCTCGCGACTTACAATTAGTGAATACACTCTCAATTGTCTTTATATTTCTCAAAAATCATGTAGATAGATACAAGGAATTACTTTTAGTAGTTACGTTACACTTAAATAAAATTCTTTTTAAAAAAAAAAAAAAAAAAAAAAAAAAAAAAAAAAAAAAAAATCTCAATGTCTTTTTCCTAAGTTCTCAAATGTCCAACTGCTAAAATTTGTTCCTCGTTATGCTATCATGTCATTTTCTCGAGGTCACGATAAAAAAAATAATAATCATGAACGCACATTTCGCGTTGAAATACCCTCTTTCAAGGTAAATTTGGCAGCTTTTCACGATGCTCATGCTTCTGGCAGTAATTGCCTGGCATCCCTCACTACAGCCCCCCCCCCCTCTCCCCCGGTATTTCATGTGGTTGTGCTCTCCAAGCAGAAATGTTTCATTCACCCATTATTTCAATTACTTCCTCCCCTATTAACCCGGCTCGAGCCTCTATTATTAATACATTTTTTGCGCCACTTCACTATTCATACTTTCTTACGATTTTCGCTCTCATACTCCACTGTCTCTCTCCACCCCTTTTTCGCTCTTCTCATGTTTTCAGCGTATGCCCTAAGGTATTCGTCCGTGTTTCGGCACAGAGACCCACCAGTGAATTGCGATATATCGATTGATCTGACATTTAAATCTACGGAAAAGTATCGATAAACAGGGTGTTTGCAACGAACACCTTAATGATCGATTCTTTACCATGGCTTCAAATGGGATACTATTGATAGTCGATTTTCACGCCTCGCCACTGAGACCCACACACTCAAAGATTTCTCACTAATTTGGATTTCGTTCATTAACCTACCCAAGCATAAGTCTGACGTCCTTTGTTTCACTATCCAACGTCAGAGGTTAGACAGCTGTAAATAAAATTGAGGCACGTTTCAAATCCAAGTTGGTTTGTCTTCAGCCAGGATAATGGTGAGAAGAGTGCCCTCACTGAGAAGAAAACTGCGATCGTCTGAGCCATGTGTTCAGTGTTTCATATCGACCGAACTATTCAGTGTGACCAAACGAAATGTTGGTGTATAATATCGAAGCTTCCATTCATATATGTAATTGAACTCATTTTGATGAGTTCGATTATATGAAATCAAATACATGACCCAATCGAGAGATTCGACTTCTTGAGCCGAAATTTCCCTTTAGTATGCTTATCATAATTAAGGAATCGTCCTTGTTTGACCGTCAGAGGAACGGTACCCTAGAGACCATAGACTTGACGACGGAAGAAATCATGTACATAGAGGATCCGCTGAGCCATGTCAAAGCCAGCTCGCCTTCCGTTTATTGGCTATGCAACACGGTCATCTCCTAAGCAAAAATAGCTGTATCAAGGCGTTCTATTGACGTCGCAGGTCACAGCTTGCAGGTATGAGTATGTCACTCAGGGTTGATAATACAAGGACATAATGAGCGTATTTCTCTTTGCTATTTTTGAGGTCTGCCTAGAAAATTTTTAGCATGAATTGCGTTTTTTCTTTCTTTTTTTTGCGGAGACGATCAATGTTGGAGGAAATGCAAAAGCAGCGACAGAAGCCGCTCTTATACTCCTCCTATGTTCCAATACTTGTCAGAAAGCTTATATTTTGCCAAATATAAACTTTCCGACAGGTATAGGATCGATATATTTTAAAGAATCAATCCTCAAGCTCCAATTCAAGCAATGTAGCCGATTTTAATGAAAGTTAAGTTAGAAAATCGAAATGTTTTCCCCTCGTAACTGATGATTTTCTAAAGGAGCAGTATGAAGCTTGTCAACTTAGGATTTGCTTTCGAAATAGATTGCATCAACCATTGGTTACTACATGAATTCGAGTCTCAACTTGGGTGAATAACTTTTGTGATGAGGGAGATTCAGCAGTGTAGAATCTCCAGAAAATATTTCCTCTGACAGTGAGTTTTAAATTTAAAAAAATCCCCATGTCTGCTGAAAAATTATGGATTTTCCTCATTGAACTTTTTAGTGCAGTGCATATTTAAGTGAACCCAAAACAGAAGTCGATCACCGTCTAAAAGTGAAGTTTATTTCACAGAATTATACGCTTTCGGAGAATTCTGGATCTGGAAAAGGGATTTATATAAATAGTGAAGTCTGTTTCACAAAATTACGCTTTCCGAAAACTGGGGCTGGAAAAGGGAAGAAATTCATGTACTTAAACAAGTTAAGTCTATTTCACAAAATTACGCTTTCGGAAAACTCTGGAGCTGGAAAAGGGAAGAAATTCATGTAAAAAAAGCATCCTTGTCATTTCCTTCCAAGTACCGCCCCTCGGATTCCGGAAAATCATACTTCAATAACGTCTGATCAGTCCGAGAATGAGATTCCAGAGCTTTTCTCCAAACTCATTATTGCTAAACTAAAGCGGCGCCCCCTCCCGCATCCGAAGGAATTTTCAAATTCTCAATAAAGCAGTTTTTCAGGGAGCTTTTATTATGTTGCAGGTTCACGCAAACTTTCTTTGATCTGAAAGAAAAGGAGAAGAAGATGAAGAAGAGCTCGCGAGAATACGCGAGGAGCCTCATGGATCTGCACAACAACGAAGCGGGCAGACGGGTAAGTCGAGTCTGGTCTACTCGCCCTCCCATCTCGTTCCTCAACCCCCTTTCCAGTCTATTGACTCCGATAATAATCTGATAATTTCATTTATCTGGGGGTGGAAAGAGAAAGGGGATTAGGGAATTCACCCCTTCGTCGAAACAATATTCCCGCGCTGAGTTCTTCATTTAAATGTTTGAGTAGAATCCGCTTGCTCATTTCTGCCGTGCTGAGGAAAAACGCCCTATGAACACTCGATAGTTGCCAAAGTTCCCCAGATTAATCATGTATTTTTTAGGAAAGTTACTAATATTTTTCCTTGAAATTTTCGGGGATTTTAGATCGAATTGCGAACAAAATCGTCTGAAAAATTTGAAGCAAAACATTCAAAAAATTTACAGTAAATTCGGTTTTTATTGAGGGAAATCTGGCTGGCAACGCTTGAAGGCCCATACGGCGGATTTTCTCTACGTCCTAACTCATGCAAAATACCTCTTGTTATGCAAGAGTTCAATTCCGCCCCCGCCCCTCGGCCTTGATTTAATAACAAACATTGGATTTTTTGCGGGAAAATCAGCACGGTTTTGATTGGATTTTATCGGTAGCAAGTAAGGTACTACTTCTAAGGACGATGGTTGAGCTGCTCTAATTTGTTTTCTTCCTCCCTCACACCCTTCCTCTCACTCCTCCCTCCCCCTCCAATTCCCTCCCCTCCTTTTTTATACTGGAGTCGGAAAATGCAAACGTAAGTACTGCCGTGCTAAGGAAGAACGACGTATGAACCTTCAGGTATTGCCGAATGTCTTCGGATAGAATATGAATTTTCAAGAAAATATGTGAATATTTTTCGTTCACATTTTCGGACATCTTTGTACGCAATTCCATCGTAATTATCTGAAAATTCAAGAGGAAAATGTGCATAACTTCCCTCAAAATTACATATTTTATCCGTGGAAATTTGGCAACTCTCGTATGTTCATACGGAGTTTTTCCTTAGCATGGCAGTGTAGTAGTGCTCTAGCTCTATATCCGGTAGACAACCTAGTAAAATTCCGTTTAAGTTACACAGAATGAGCATAATTTGGGTAGGTATACACCGACGTCGAAAAATGTGCAACTCTCATTATAAATTATTATTATTCGCCATTAATTATTATTTATTATTTATTTTCAACCATTGAAATGTTGCAATTCTCCACTCTAGTTGTATTTTTTCAGGAAGGAAGTAACGAATTGTTTCTCGCGGGGTTTTCTGTGAATTTTCTGTAGACATTCAATTTTAGTGACATGAAATTCCAAGGCAATTTCGAATGCAAGGTTTTTTCCCAAACAGGGTCCTGCTTTCATTTTCCTATATTTTGATAATTTGTTGGTTTAGCATGATCCTTTGGGATTCCGCAGGGGCTATCGTCCTTTCTTGGCTAAAAATTCAAAATCTGCTAAGATTTTTGACCTAATCTATGCGATACATCCCATGCCAGTTTGACCAGTTGAGCTTGACGAATCACCTTAAGACCTAAAGATTCATTTCAGGCACATGTCGATAAAATCCCTAAATCCCTTAAATAAGGGCCCTTTTTGGGAGGTGTTTTCTAGAGGACTACCTCTGAAAGACGTCCTAAAAGAATAAGCTTAAACGCGTGATTCCAGACACTCTGAATAGGCAGATACGGTGAGCCCAGACGGGCTGTCTGAGTATTTATGCGTGTAATAGCAGAGAGCGGCTCTTCGGCACTTGTTCTCAATATTGACTCTCTGAAACCCCACTTACCGGTATAAATAACAATAAATTACGACCTCGCAGGCACGCATTAAGCATCGCGCCGCCATAGGTTTCTTTCCTTTTTGTTTTTTGTGCCCCTCTCGCCCTCCCCTGACCGCCCCCTCGTTTGGCTCAATGAATTGGTTTTCCATGTCGGGTCCCGGTTGAACCAGTTCCCGGATGAGCAGGACCAGAAGCCCATGTTGCCAAACGGGCAAGTCCAGATTGCATTTCGGCGGCACACATTTCAAAATTACCTCGTTTTTGGTCTCTTTGTGGTTTTACTTCCACGTGGCAGTTTTGAGGGATTTTTGATGGGTTAAGGTAGTGCGTTTTGAATGAAAAATCACGTGAAAAACCCAAATAGTTTAAAAATACATTTCTTAGGGGTGAAAAAGCTAATCAGCAGTCGAGTTGATGTAGCAATTAAGGTGATTCGATTGATGCCATATTCCGTTTCAGAACGGCATGCGATATATCGCATCAATTGGTTCCATTTTTTCAGTTACTCGTCATTTTTCTCCAATTTTGAGATCGCAATTCTGTTCTCAGGAGACTAAAGCACCCACCTACCAATTTTAACAAAGAAATTCAACGTAATAAAGTCGTGTTTTTTTTTTAGAGAGAAAATATCGCATTCGAGTGCAGTTTCAATATCAGCATCGAATGCGATGTTTTCTCTCTGAAAAAACCACGCCTTTATTACGTTGAATTTCTTGGTAAAAAGTGGTAAGTGAGTGCTTTAGTCTCCTGACAACAGAATTGCGATCTCAAAATTGGAGAAAAATGACGAATAGCTGAAAAAATGGAACCAATTGATGCGATATATGCATGCCGTTCTGACACAAAATATGGCGTCCATCGAATCACCTTAAGGGATTTTTGCTGGGTTAAGGTAGTGCGTTTTGCATGAAAAATTACGTGAAAAACCCAAATAGTTTAAAAATACATTTCTTAGGGGTGAAAAAGCTAATCAGCAATCGAGTTGATGTAGCAATTAAGGTGGAGCCTGAGTGGATACCGAGTTCCACGGAGAAAAAAACTTCGTGCGTGGGACCCGAAGTTGAGGTCATATGGATCTCTGAAGTTTTTGGACCACAGATCTAAAAACATGAGGTCCAGCTGCCGAAGTTCGGGTCAGACATCTGAGGTACTTCGATATATACCGAAGGGTTCGGGTCACACATCTGAAGCACTCCGGTACATACTGAAGTGCCTCGATGTCTGGCCCGAACTTCGGCAGCTCGACCTCAAGTTTGCAGATCAGAAAACTTCAAAGATCCATATGACCTCAACTTCGGGTCCCATGCATGAAGTTTTTTTCTCCATTTAGGTAAGCCAATCAGCGAAGGCCGTTTCTGTCATCAGAACCCACCGAAAATATCGTTTCAAATTGGGTTGCTTTGTTATCTGAAAAAAAAATTGAAAAAATTTATAGAGCCCTAATCCATATAATCCGAAAGTTTAGAAACTGGATTTTTTAATAAAAAAAAAAAAAAATAGTGCTCCTGACCCATTCTAAGAACTAAAATTTCGGTTTTTACCAAAATATTTCGGTCGATCAACTGAAAAGTCACAAATTAATCATAAAAATTTTAAAATCAAGTGAGTGTGCTGCTGACCTAATGTACTCGCGCTATCCTCACTTCTATTTATCAGTTGCGACTTGCGAGTGTCTAGCCGATCCTAACCTTACGTGCCTAGTTTTTACGGGTTTGGAGTTTTCTACCAAAAGATTTGGTTAGTTTCACTAAAAAACTTGGTCCGCCGGAAAAGTTGACGTAGGCCATTACGCGAAAGTTAAACGTGCCTATCGATAGCCAAAGTTTGGAGCCGCGTAGCTCCATTTGCGACTTTGCAGACTTCCCGTCATATTTTATTTTTCCGGTAAAAACTATAGTGAACGTAATTTCTTGAAAACTTCCTTGATTTTTCTTCCGCATACTACCAAGATATTCTGTATTAATTTCGGGCAATATAGTTGGGTTGCTCCTTCTTGAAAAAACAAAATAGGAGCAGACATTTTGCGAACACCGCAAAGGAGATACGTTATTGTTTCGCACTCTGACCCAGGGCCGGATTTACCTTCTTGCCGCCCATGGGCCGCCTGTATTTTGCCGCCCCATCTCATTCGTTTTGAAACATCCATAGATTCCATTAGGTGAACGTGCCGGGGGAGGAGGGGTACATAAGACGCGTTTACTCGCGTTTGGCACATTTTTTGTGAAAGCCCTCTGAACACTAGCAAAAGTTCACGGAACTTTGCTCGAAAATTAAGTTCCGTAAACCTATCTCTGTGTGGACGATGCCTTTCATTAATAAGAAAAGAACGAAACAATTATGAATAAGAATAAACATGAATGTGGTCTAATGATCTTAATTTTCGCCACCGCGCCAACCGCACTGTGTTTGGCGCAATGCGTGAAGTATCCCTACAGTCTTGTAGGCGCTATACGTTTCACGCTGACCGCCGCTGACCAAGTGACCGCACTGTTTCTGACGCAATGCGTGCAGTATTCATGCAGTCTTGTAGGCACTATGAGTTTCACTCCAACCGCTGCTGACCGCACTGCTTTTGACGCAATGCGTGAAGTATTCATGGAGTCTTGTAGGCGCTAATATGTGTTTAATGCTGACCGGTGCGCCGATAGGGCTTCTCCTTTCCATCTCAAGTTTTCACCATCATTGCTCTCTGCGCCGTGCCGCTGCGCTCCAGGCCAAATTGCGTGTTTGGTTTCTCTTTCAACTAGACTAATGAAAGGCGCTGTCATAGGTCTTGTATCACCGAAAGACGAACAAATTAGAAATTACTATTGTTTAACTCTCAGGATATGAGAGATTTTTTTCGCCTTTCCTCATTTGTGATTTTTTTCTGAATCAGATTTTTTTCTTAATACCTACATTTGAAAAAATTACAACATTCGCCGCCCCCTAAATTTGCCGCCATGGGATGGGCCGCGGCCCATGTGGCCACCCCCTTAATCCGGCCCTGCTCTGACCATCGATATTTAATCATGACCTCACAACAGTTCTTGTCACCCCGACGCATTGATTTGATTTCATGTCCGTAATTCCCTTAGAAGTTTATCTTCACAATCGGTTTAATTTCTCATCACACGAAGTTCGTGGTAAAAGTACAAATGAGGGTCTCAGAAGACAAAGCGCGTAAGTGCAGTTTTTGAAAAATTGAGATATGAATAATTTCAAGTAAAACTAGTCTTAACACATATAATGTGTGAAATTGGCTCCCAAATTCCAATATTTAAGCATGGAAAAGTCCGCTTGAACTTTCCTTCCGCCGTAAGGATCCATTTAATGTCGAAACATCACACACGCATTTCTCGAAATGGCAAAAACTGCACTTATGCGCCTTGTCCTCCATGCCCCTTAAATATAGGCACGATTTTCAATTGCTTTAAACAAAATCCAGCATGCATGTCAAGTTAGTAGTTCCGACCATATTTTTCTTTCAAGAAATCGGATTACCATAAAAACTGGAGAAACATCGCATTCCTCTCTGACACCATTCTCTCGATCGAATTTATGTTAATTTGACATCAATGCGCTACTGATTTTTTTCGTAGTCTACTTGAGCTAATTCAGCTGCTTTTTTTCCAGTCTCATTCACTTTTTCCTCTCCCATTGTTCGGCTTATTCCACTCAAAAACCGCCTATTTTTTGTTGTTCAATCTCCGGAACTGCATACCCCTCCCTCTCCAGATGCCCCGGCTCCTAGTTTTTTTCTCTCATTCTTTTCGTATCGTAAACTTCTGCATCGGTAGGCGGCACTTTACAGGTTGACCCAAAGAACAAATTACCTCTAAGTGGCATCAGTTTTTAATGGGATCTCAGTTTCCTATCATCTTCTTTTTTTCGTCTCCGAGAGTTGAATGCATCCGTGGGTGGCTTTTATTAATTTGCAAAGGTCTTTGGACAACTTTCCGTCGTGAATAATCTCTGAAACTGATTTCAACTTGGACAGTAAAATCATGAATTCCAATACTGTGGACAAAAATATCTCTATACCTTTAAATTGAAGCAGAATTTGAATTACCTTGAAATTTTCAAAAAAAAAAACTGAAACAATTGAGAAAAAATGGTCCGTAAAATTGATGGAATTAGTGTGTCTAGTTTCCGTATTTTAACGTGTGTTTATGTGTTCTAGTTTGTGAAAAATTCGCATTTCGCCAAAGACATTTGGCAACATCTGAAAGTTCATACGGCATTTGCAATACAACATTGCACCGCGTTAAGCAGAAAAAAGTCAAGCCACATCAGCTATTGCCAAATTTAAGTAGGCAATTCAATTCTTTACATGTATAAGACTGTGCGGATTTGTGTGCAAATTTCAGTGAATTTTCTGCATATCACAAAGCAAATTTCCTCAAAATTTTCAAAGAAATTCGCACAAACGTTCTCTTGTAAAAAATTAAATCGCCCAGTTAAATTTGACAACAGCTGATGTGGCTTGTTCCTTTTCTGCTGAACGCGGTCCAATGTTGTATTGCAAATGCCGTATGAACTTTCAGATGTTGCCAAATGTCTCTGGCGAAATGCGAATTTTCCACAAACTAGAACACATAAACACACATTAAAATACGGAAACTAGACACATTAAGTCCATCAATTTTACGGAGCATTTTTTCTCAATTGTTTCAGTTTTTTTTTTTAAAAATTTCAAGAAAGGATATTCATAATTTTGTTCATAACAATGAATAATTAGCGGAATGAATTTTGCAACATTCGAGTGCTCATACGGCGTTCTTCAGTGGCGTGGCGTGCTTTGCGATTTATCGATTGTTATGCCATTCAAACTCATGGAAAAGGATCGATAAACAGGGTGTTCGCAGCGAACACCTTAATAATCGATTCTTTACCATAGGTTTGAATGGCAGAGCAATCGATACATCGCAATTCACGCCACGCCACTGGCGTTCTTCATCAGCAAGGCAGTGCATAAGATGCCAAAATCCCTAGGTTAATTGTCACTGGATTAATGCGCATATTTTCTCTCTTTTTTAGGCGATCATGAAAAAATCTCGCATTACTTGTAAATGTCATGGCGTGTCCGGGTCATGCAGTATGGTTACCTGCTGGCACCAAATGCCCACATTTAGAGAAGTCGGTGAGTAGATTTTGCCTTTACATTTCACAAGGATAATATATCTGACTCTAATTCATCTTTACTAGTGTATCGTCACGAGTATCCTCCTGATATTTACAATGGACCACTAGACAAGGCACGAATTTCAGCATTCTGATATATGTGTCTTCACCAAAATTTCACGTAGAATACGACGCGCACAACGAAAATTACCGAAATCAACTCCTTCCGAAGATATTTAATGATTCTTGGTGCGTGAATTGAAACCACCCGCTCATGAAAACTCAATGCTCTACGTGATTCACATCGCGCGCTAAACGTTGTCATGAACGTCTCTGCGATAAAAAAATCTGGCAACCTCAATCTTGACGCTTTAGCTCAGTTATAGCAAATTACTTATAGTTTGAAAAACACGTGATGGGGAATGAACAATGCTCGATTGAGAAGCTTGCTGAAACCGCTGTAGTGCACAATTTGACTCACGTAGAGCTTTGAGTTTCTTGTGAGCGGGCAGTTCAAATTTATCGTAACCAATGTGAAATAAAAACGTTAATATCTCCGTTAGGCGTTGGTTTCAGTAATTTTCGTTGCGCGAATCATGTTCTACGTAAAATTCTGATTCAGAAACATGTATCTGAATGCCTCAATTCGTACCTTGTCTAGTGGTCCATTAGAGTACCTAGGTCAAGTTGCGAAGGAGTTGGATCTGTGTAAAAAAAATTGAGAACGATAAAACTTCCCACGAGCACATTGGGCAGTTTGTATAGTTTTTGGCGCATGTACAAAATTAATATTACAATGAGCCTTAAAAGGATCAATTTTTGCAATAAGGTATCACTATTTCTGGTCCGTTTCAGGAACAGAATGCATGCCATTGGTTTCCCTATACAGATATGTGCTTTTATGGGAGAGCCAAAGGTAGTGGTTCCTTTATTGCAAAATGTAATTCAATTAATAGCGTAATCCTTTTGAACGGAATTCTTTTGCTGAGCTTTGTGGTTTGCACGCGCCGATGGTACAACTGCACAAAACCTGTATCTCGGCTTACGACTCTGCACGTATCCTATCAAACTTTATTCTCTTAATGGAAAAATACGCATCAAAATTTATCGCTGATTATCCTGATCTTTCGTGTCAGCGCGAAGAATATTTTTTGAAAATCGAGCTATAGTAATGGTTCGCTCTACTTTGATCAAAAAAGATGGGAACCGTGAGTTTGAAACACACATCAGCAAACGAGAGATGCGTTTTTGTAGTTACCTTGCACCGTCGATCCCTCTTTTGACAATATTATAGCCTTCGCGGAGATAGCTTCACGGAGTCCAATATTTTTTACGAATGTAAAGATTCAATCCTCAAAACACGACTTTACCTATTGCCGTCGTAGCCAAAGTTGCCAGATTGTGCTGAAAAATCAGCACCTTCCCCCATTTAAACCCATGTAATGTATGCACTTATATTGCACAATTTGGCGATCCTGTTTCGCACCGGAAAGCCTCCCCTGGAGATCCGACAGTTGGCAAGGCATCGCCTCTTTCTTGCGAGGGCGTATCTCGATTTCTGCATGAGACCCGAGAGGCGTGTATTCATATGTAAAACAAGGCTTACATAGAAATTGAGATACGCTTTTACATTAGAGAAGTGACGAGGATTGGCGTTCTTTTGTATCGGCGGAAATTAATTAGAGCCAGCCGGAAACTAAAAGATACGAAGGATACCATACCAAGGATCGCATTCTTCCCCGAATGCGGCGGAAGCCCAGCAGGCTGATTATCGAAAGTAATAGACAAAGCAGTATAGACAAAGAAGACAAAAGGTATGATGGAGCGATCCTGCTGGCGGAAGCTGGCGGTTGCAATGCGCAAACGAGATAAGTAATAGACTAACTAACGGCAAACCAAAAGGGACCTTGTAATTGGTCCATCATTTGCCACCTTAGTCTGTATCAACCACCCGTTTCAACCGGTAGGATAGCTCCATTTTTCTTTTGTCTTCTATATCTTTCGCTTTGTCTATCACGGATACTACCTAAAAGTTCAAATTCTCGACAGCGCAAGAACAAGAAGCGTAAAAATGGGAGGCTGGGGAGAGCGGGGGTCAAGTCTAGTCCAGGGGCGGATCCAGCAATTTGGCAACAATGGATTCCCTCCATTTAAACCTATGTTAAATAATCGATTCTTGGAGGGGCACCTGGCCCCTCCAAGAATCGATTATTTTACATAGGTTTAAATGGAAGAGAACAGTGTTGCCAATTTGCTGGATCCGCCAATGGTCCAGTCTTTGTATTAAGCCTCTCATTCTTTGGGGAAAAAACCAACGAATAATTTTTCCAGCTATTTTTCAAGTTTTTTCCGTCATTTCTGGAAAATTTGAGGATACCGTACAATGGAGGTGTGCGGGGAAAGAGGGCTCAAAATGTCTGTTGAAAAGCCTTACATTGCACTCAAGAGGTCCCTGGGTACACATTTTGTCAACTCCTTTTCATGGAATCACAACATCCATCGATGAGCTCTAACCGCACCACCATCCAATCAGAAGCGCTGAGCCGCACTTCAGTGCAGTTGCCCGCCCAACACGAAATATTGCAGCAATATTGCAGCAATATTGTCAATATTGAAACAATATTGTCATGTAAATATTTCCTTAAATACACTGCAGAAATATGTTGACAATATTGCTAAAATATTTCATGACAATATTGTAACAATATATTTATAAAAATGTTTTAAATATATTTACAAAATATATTTATGTAATTACTTTTAAAACAGTTTGTAAAATATATTTACAAAATATTTTAAAATTATTTTAGAAATATTAGTTTAAAAATATTTGTTTAATATTATGTTAAAAATATTTTATAAATATTTTTGTAATATTTAAAAATTAATTGCTAAAATGGCAAAAAATGGTTTGCGATTTCTGCAATTTGCTTTTTTTGCTAAAATGCCCACCCTCGTGGCGAGAACGACAAAACAATTTGCAAAAGTGGTAATTTTATTGTGCGAAAATGGCAAACTATACTTTTGCGAAATTAACATTACTAGTTTATGCTATTATGGCTAAAATTTTTGCTAGATTTCCAAAATGTTTGCCAAATTAGCGTATGGTTTTGCTCTGTTTACCAATTATTTTGCGGAACTTACTAAAATCAATCGCTAGAAAAAAGAAGGGGGGGGGAAGAAAAGACAAAAAGAAGGGAAAAAAATAAATAACATAACATAAATACATCGACATAAATTCAAACTAGGAAAAAGCTCAAATAATTAAAACTGGAAAAAGACGCAATTATAAAAAACAGTAATTTGGTAAAGAAAAAAATGAGAGAGAGTTAAAAAAAACGAAAATTTGTAATACATGAATAGGAATATGTTGAGTATAATTAATAAAGAATTTGAAACACTAATTACGGGATGAAATAAAAAATAATAAATAAATAATAAATAATAAATTCTGGTAAAATATTATAAGAATCCGTCAATAAACAAACATATTACGGACTCAGAGGCCTGCGATAGTTAAGAGATTGAATTTACGGGCCCATCTACATCAAGCATGGCTGGTCTGGTGGTAAAGTACTGGACTTCGGATATCAACTCCACCCCGAGGCGTGGGTTCTAATCCCGACTAGGACGGCGCGGATTTTAAGGTCAGTAACAACTCTACGATCCACAACCTGGACGCATGTGTACATTAGATAGAAAATTAGTACCAAAGACGTCACCTAGAGTGCGCGCACACGGATATGAAATATGATAACCTCATCGCAAGTAAATATTTTTAAAATATATTATCAATATTACCTTGACAATATTGCTGCAATATTGTCAGGGGGGCGGACAACAAACTATTGCAGCAATATTATTTCGATATTGTTAAAATATTGTTAAAATGTTTTTGACAATATTTCAGCAATATTTTTAAAATATTTCCGTGTTGGGCGGGTGAGTCCTTGGTACTTCTAAGTACGGGGAAGGACCAGCATAATTCGGCCCCTGATTTTTATCAGACAATTTGGATCGCATTCAGCCAAAGGGAACCAGCGCGATCACAGTGTTGTGAAAATGTTGCATATTTATAATTATCAAAAAATCTCCCAGAATAGCAAATAGTTTTTGCTTCCCACTAAAAAAATTGTTAATATTAAAGGAAAATAATTTTTTGAAGTTGAATACTGTAAATGCGTATTTTTAAAGAAGAGAAAAATGAAGTTGCACGATTTTGAAAACACTATAATCGTGGTGGTTCCTCTTTGCTAAATGCGATCCATTTAATCCAATGTTTGTGTGTCTGAAAATTTCAAGGGAAAAATACTCGTAACCTCTTGAAAAATAAATAATTTATCGGACAAATTTGACAACCCCCGAATGCTCATACGGCGTTCTTCCGCAGCACAGCAGACGGAGTGACGTGCCGACGCGTGCTTCGCGGCTGTCGAGGTTCCTTTGAGTCGGTGGCCGCTGAAACCGAGCGTGTGCGTCTTTTCATGGACCCTGGCGCGCGAGTAATCTTACGGACTCTGGGGGTCATCCGAAAAAGGGCGTGTTTGGTTCCGATACGGACCGATCCTTTTGTCGTATTATGTTTTCTATTATGTTTTCGAGTTTTTATTCCTCGGCATTCCTCGTCCTCGTCGGCGACCCATTGTGCAGCGCATCCAAGTTGCTCAATTTCAGCCGGCTCATTTGGACGTATTTCTGCCAAACGGAACTATGTGCATTATGACGTGAGCCCTGAGACCCATAAGAATGTATGCGTAGCAGGGCTCACGTCATAATACACATAGTTCCGTTTGACAGAAATACGTCCATTTGTTCTGGACCGGCCGCCGCACAGTGGATCGAGTCGATCAGAGAGGTCGGACATGAAATTTTTTACTAAAACTGCAAATCTTGATGTTTATTTCGTCACATTTTAAGTTTTAAGGGTTGGTTTCAGAAGATAAGTTCACGAGAGAACCAATGGAACCACTTTTAGAGCCTCAAAGTTTTGTATAAATGGAGTTATAAGCGTTCAAAGTT